CCCACACTCTTAGTTTGAAGTCTAACCCTTTTTTCTAGAATAGGGGGTAAGGGGAGGGTGATGAAATGTTGGAACAACTGAACATCCCCGTCCATTTTCTCCAAAAACCTTTTGTATTCTGGCAGATCTGTGCAATCTTTTCTTTTTTCGCACGACACTGTAGGCCTAGGCCTGAAATAACGGGGAAGAGAGATGAGTATCAGGATTTCTCAGCAAGAACTAAACAAAACATACATCTTCTTTAGCGTGAATTGGACTGGGGGCAGAGTGGGCGGGCTCGGAGGAAGGAAAAGAGAATGGAGTATTTGAATAAATATGAATAAATTTATTAGTTACTTCTCACAATCAGATAACTCCCCTCCCCCCCCACCCGCCAAAAGGGTTATTTTCTATCTTTCTAAGGATGTAAGCCTTAATGAAAGCAATCTTAGTCACAAATTTGAGGAAATTGCCCAATAATACGTTTCCATGTATTTGAACTGAAAAATTGTTAACCACGCTTTTGCTCCAAGACGTGTGAGGACCATTCAGGGGCTGTAGGGCCCTAGATAGACACACAAACAAGCATGTGTATATCTGGAGCCCCACACATCGTAATAAACACAGCTGCATTTATTTGAGTATGTGATCCCATGTACATGTGAAAACATTCAAACAAACACACTCAACAGATTTATTTGATTGTGCAATGGGGCAATTATTCAAATAAACATACTCGGTGCAATTATTTGAATCTCACATTGCATGTTCATCAATCACAGCGCTAAAAAAGGGGGGGGGTTGGGAAACACCAAAGAATTTATGTGGGAAAAAAATATATGTGAAAACAACCTTATTATAGATTTTATAGGGTTAGCCAAAGTTATGGCTCCCTCCTTAACTGTAACTCAACTATTCTGTATTCAATGACGTTTGTTTCTAATGATTAATTGATTCATTCACTTGATCATTATATTGGAATGACTACAACCTTCAGATTCATCTGATAGTGAACTTTACAAACCTGAACTGGGTAGAAAGGTGAAATCTCTGTATTTTAAGTGCAGAATAGTTCTTCCTAGACATCTTACATCAAGGGGACACTGTTTAAATTATCATCACTTTAAATAGCACTCCCATAAATTTTAAAACGTTTATGCATACAACAAAACATTCCTACATTTGAAGACATTAAAAAAATCACAGGTGACTCATCTGATCATTTTATATATTAATAAATATTATGACATATATGTGAACACATCACAAATCATATAGGTGTACCGAGAGGCAATTTATGTCTCTCTCAAGTATGTACTGACATAACCTAATATACTAAAATGGGAAGGGGCGTTTAGTCACTGAAATATGCATCGTGTAACAAAGATGAAGAAAATACATGCCTTGTGCCCATCATAAAAAAGATTCAGACTGAAGGCTTAGCTTTGGTTTTTATTCAATTAAATTGTTAAAGTGTGCACAGTGATTTTTTTTTTTTTTTTTAGAACTTGAGACATTTGTGATGTTGGCTGTTTAAATCTTTGTTACCTTCGCTGTGAATTGAAATTGTACATATTTAGTAAATCATGCAGACAAAACAAACTTTTTAGACAATATTTTTATTGGAGAGTTTTCTTTTCCTGTATCCATGTTAAAAAAAAAAAAAAAAGACCTCCTTTCCCAAAATAAAAATGTCAATACTAAATTTAAAGAAGTATAAAGGAATGATTGCTTCCTTTAGAGCTAAATATTTAAATAAACATGGAGATCATTGGCAACCTGTTCTTTTGGGCTAATAGGCCGTGTCCAATTTTTTGGGTCTGATGTTTCAGAGGGCCTCTGATTCAGGGTTGAAGATGATCTATTAATCTCTGCATTCAACAAATGCTATTGAATAACAGAAATAAAGCCCTCAGCCTTCATTTGTATATGGAATACAGAGCGAGAGGGATAACACTGGGTTGACATGATGCTGAAATGTGCCACAAACCAAAACTCTCTCTATTAAAACAGGCACCCACCACCCATAATCTAGTATGACATGTTAAAATGCTCCAAAATATTGAAAATATAAAAGGCACACGACTATTCTCATTTGGCTTTGAGATGAATGTGACAAAGATTCTAATAATTTTAGTCAAAGAAAATGATGAGTAAAAAGTACATGAAGATTAAAGCAGTGACAAATGATCTTTTAAGTGTTCTAATTGGTCTTTCTCATTCATATCTTTGATTCTACAGAAATTGCAAATCCTGATGGTCCTGATTTGTAAGTGCACCCATCAGCTTTCTCTCTTTCACTTCACAGAATATGCCTGTTAGATTTGGAACGAAGAATAAGCCCCCAAAATGTTAAAAATAGACTACTGCCCTGGCAGGAAATTTAGTATTGGCAAGCCCAGAACTCAGAAGGAATTGATCTAACATAAGGAAACATTCAAAGAAAGATTTGTGCATTATGATCCTTCTCTGACCATTTTCAGAGGAGTCAAATGGAAGGATGAGAGAGAAAGAGAGCGAGAGTGCATAGGTTTTGCACACCTTGTATGTGGATATTGAATATTTAGTGTTAAAAACAACATTAGACATGAAAAGAGTTAAAATGGAGTGTTTCTGAAACATTTGATATATTGTTTTCTTACACAAATGGAAAACACTTAAAATGTTGATACTGGAAAAATAAAAAGTTCTGAAGACAACATCACAAAAAACCGTTATGTAACTTATAAGATATGCCAACAATAAAAGAGAGAAAATATTAATTTACCTTTACTCTTTTAATAAGAAACTTAGATTTTCATTTATGACCTTTCCTTCAAGGAGAATCACTTTTATCCATCCCTAAAACAGTCTTATCATAGGGCTAAGAAGTATAGTTATGCTTCATTCTAGTTTTGTTTAGGAAAAGAGGAATACAGTCTTCAAATTACTTGAAAAAAATATATAGATGAATAAAGGAATATAAATTTAGAAAGGAAACTCAAGAACATCCCTACACTCAGAGAAAACATTATGTGTATTTAGTGACCACAAGCAACCTAGACCTTGGTTTTTACAACTCTTCTGAAAGATACCACTTCCAACACAAACAATATTTCCCAACCCTGTAGTACAGCCCAGGATTGGTGCAGACATAAAGGGAGAACACCAACTATTGAATAACCTTCACTACTTCCTGTAGTCCTGAAACATTCAGTGGAGGTCTACCACTTCATTATTGAACATGCTTAGAAAGTGTGAGTTCATAAGTTTCCGGTTGAAGGTACATCTAAGCAAGAGGGGAAATAGAGAAGTACAAACCACCCTGCCCAACTTGTTTTTAACACTAAAATGCCATTCCTGGAGAAAGTAGGTCTTAGAAGAATCAGCCTAACATATGAGTAAACACTTTTTTTTTTTCTTTTCCGTAATATAAAGTGTTTTTGTATCATCAAAGACAATTCCATGAAAAGGAACATTTCACTCACTTTAAAATACATGGTGATGGAACATTAAAGAAAGATATCTTATCGAACAAGAAAGGTTCTAACCACAATAGCTGCTTATTATGTGCCACCTCGGTTTTTAAAATGGAAATTAAAATAACGATTCGTACAAATAGTTTTCCAGGAATTGTCGTGTTCTCTTGAGTCAGATGCTTTCACCTACAAATCACCCTATAAATATGTTATAAACCCCTCTATGGCCTGACCAAATTATAACACACTTTGTGACTGCATTAAAAGTGTCAAAAATCTTGTTCTTGTTCTTTAATAAAACTCTCCTATGAATTGGGTAGGAAGAGGATCTTTATGTGTGTAACACTTAGAAAAATAAAAGCAGTTAATCCACCCCTTGCATCTTGTGGATGAGGAAACTGAAGTCTACATATCCTTGAGACCACACTGGTTATTTGTTTGTTTCTATTCCTGAAGGATCTAGAAAGCACTTAAGCATAGACTCTCGGAACCCTAGCCTCCTGACAGTGCTCTCTTCAACGTGCCACAGTAAACCTTCAAATGGCTATGAGAGCGTCGAAAGAAATGAGCTAGCTTCCCTACTTCCTGCAAGAAGTCTGTTCTGGTCCACAAGGACTCTTCATGCATGGATGGAATGAAAATAGTCTACCTTGGAAAGGCTGTAAACTCTGATCACATCCATCATCTGAGGGCTGCTAACCACTCCGGGACTAGCATCTCCTCTGAGAGCCAGAGACATTCTCCATTTTGACAAATGCTCTTTAAAAATTGTTAACTGCTGTCCTTATATTTTATGCACTAGTTTTGTCCAAGACTTCCGACAGTGCTTATGTCCGTTGAGGAGCCATTGCTCCACCAAGCCTCTCCAACCAGTTTTCAGCCTGAACCCACTTTGTGAGTCTTTTTCCAGTCATGGCTTTTCTGAATCCCGTGTGCGCTGAATGACCAGAGGTGGTCAGAGGAAGAAACAAGACAGGAGAGTACCAGGAGTAGTAAGAGATTCACACAACTACAATGGGAAGAGTGGAATAAACTGAAATAGATGAAAGAAAGAAAGAGCATATTCTCTCATCTGAAGCCTTGGCTTTTAAAATTCTGGGACTCAGAGAGAATAAGAGCCCAAGTCATCCCACAGTCACTAACGGAGCTGAGTTCAGAAGCCAGATCTCCATAGATGGTTTTACTGCTTCTACTTATGCTTCTAATACTTCTACGATTCTTCTATTCTATTCTCTTTAGTGGTCCTAAGAATAATACTAATAAATAATAGTTACAACATTGATAGCTGGCCAATTTTCTGAGTGCCTACCATGTGTAAGGCATGAAGTTAGGTACTATAGGACATGCAAAGACGAACAAGGTAGGATTACTGGCCTCAGGTTTCTTGTAATCTGTCAGAGACAGACATACACAAAGAGGTAGAATACAGAGTTCCGGGTCCCAGAGGGAATGTATGGATATGAAAGTCCCAAATAGGCCTTCTCCTACACCGTGGCAGGGGTTTTTTTTAATTGTTTTTTTGATTTAAACACAAAATCACGCCATTCCCTCAATAACACCCATATCGTTGAGTGATGCTATACGAAAAGCACTTTTCTATGTCCTAGGAACATATAGTAGAGAACAAATAATAGCTCCACTTTAAGGGCTTTACATTGCAGGGGAGAAGGTAGACAACAAAACGATTAATGTGTTGAAAACAAAACATGATATAAAAGTGAATGAGATGGAATTGGGGGACAGGCAACCTCAGCCTGGTGGGCCGGGAAGAGAGTGCCAGGAAAAGTCTCTCTGAAGGAGCGGTGTTTGACACAAGCTTGAAAGATGAGAAGTGAGCCATGAGAAGATCTGGAGTGAGAGTGTTCCAGGAGGAAGGACCAGCAGCTGCAGAAACCTCAGCAAGGAAGGCGGATGGCTTTTTGAGAATAAAAAGGCCAGCCTAAGAAAGCACAGCAGAAAAGGGAGAAGCGTGGAAGACGAAGTCAGGTAGAGAAAACGTTTGCCAAGCCCCGTGAATGGTATAACATGTGATCTCTTGTGAATCAGAACTCAAGAACAACTTGAGAGAGAGAATTCAGAGGGTTTTAAGGAATGAGACTTGTTAGGTGTTTTGGTCCAATGTCATGTTTCCATGGGTGAGAAAACGGAGTTTATGAATCCGTGAGGTTTACCCTGTGGGAGTCAGAAGACTCACAGTCTATTATTCCCAGTGAATAGAAATGCACTTAGCAACCTGTCCATGGCCTTTTCCTAATTCCTTCCCCTGTCAAATGCACAGTGGCATTCTGTGTCCCTCTGACTTTAGAATGAGAGAAATCTCATTTCTGACTCCCACAAGACCACCTGCCTTGTGTCTGGTCACAGGCAGATCTGTCAGCCTGGAAAACAGAAACTGTTTGGGCCAAAGAAGGGTTGTATTTCGGAAACGAAAGCACTCGATGCAGCAAACAGGCCACCACGGTGGCACGTTACCCTGGAGGCGCCTTCCCCCAGTGGCACGTCCAGGCACAATCCCCATCGTTGCCAGTTTGCTCAAAACAGCTGGGCTAGAATCAGCCATGAGCAAGGGCCCCAGCCATTTCCCCTTCTCCTGAACTTCTCAAAAATACAAAAACTCGCCGAGCAGAGAGAGAAGCCAATAAGAAGTAAGGAACGTGCAGCAGGTGGTACCATCTGTGCCCGGCTAATTCCAGCCCAAACAATCTGCTCCCTAGAGTTCCCAGTTGTGGAGAAGAGAAGAGAATCTGACAGTGGCGGAGCCGGGGAGGGGGTGTAGGAGGGCAAGTGCCCAGACTATTATTCAAACGTTCAGCTGGTTGGGAAGTAGATTATTGGCGCCAGTGAACTATTCTCTTTCTCCCTTTCTCTTTACAACCGCTGTGGGAGATTCCTCCAAAGTCTCGCTAAACTGGCAAGGATCATATCCCACACCTGTGAGCAGACATGGAGGCATCGCTGTGAGTCTGTCACCACTGGGGTGGGAGGGACAAACATTCCACAGCAAGACTGGGAAGCGCAGCCCACCCCAAGATGGAAAACAAGGGGCGGGGGGAGGGAGCTTATGTTTATTTTATTCTATTTTCCTAGCAACCAAATTCTCTCCCTCTCCTGTTCGTTCTTTGAAAATGATCCACGGTTTAGAATGGGCTTGTGTTCCTCGTGCCTGATTCCCCAGGTTGGCATTTTCTGAAATAAAATCCTTTCCCTTGATGGACTTCCTTGTGAGGAGCAAATCTCCTCTGGCACGCTTACAACCATGGGATGCATAAATGCAAGCAATTCGAGGAGAGATCAAATTGTCTGTAGCAATAACTTGCCCTTAATAGAGTAACAGAGAGACAGGGCCCATGCTTTTCACAGATGGAGGAGACAGTAATGATTCAAGGGGCACAGAAAGACCTGTCCACTAAAAAAGAAAATCTTACCCACTGCAAAATATCCACCAGCACTTTAGGTTAAGGTACTGTCTCCAAAAAGTCATGTGTTAAAGGCAAATACCTGGGAGAGGTGACATTTGGCTGTTATCACCTTCCCTTAGATTCACTGACCAACATATAGCTAACAGTTGAGCCCTGAGAAAGTGGGGCAGGAAAGTTCACGTGTATTGGAAGAAGACGAGTGAAGGTCTAGATTTTAAGTGCTGACCCAGAAAACCAGGACATCATGGACCCTTGAAAGAAGGGTAGGTGGCACCTAGCCCCCTGCTTGGGCTGAATGGTGTCCCCCCAAAAGGTATATTGAAGTCCTAACCTCTGATACCTATGAATAGGACTTTATTTGGCAATGGGGTATTTGCAGATCTACCCACGGGTGGGCCCTAGTCCAACATGGACGGTGTCCCTATAAGAAGAGGGAAATTTGGATACAGGCACCAGGCCATGGGAAAACAAAGACAGAGATTGGAGGGACGCAGCTACAAGCCTAAGAACGCCAAGGATGCTGGCCGTCTCCAAAAGCTGGGAGAGAGACATGGAACAGATCCCTCGGAAGGAAGCAACCATGCCAACACCTTGATTTTGGACTTCCAGCCTCCAGAACTGTGAGCGAATAAATTTCTGTTGTTTAAGACACCCAGTTTGTGGTACTTCGTTGTAGCAGCCCTAAGGAAACCAAGGCACCCCCAAAGCAACCGTAGTCAGGGCGTCGGCATTCAGTGTCCGGGCTGGTCTTGAAATCAAGATCAAATTTTGGTCTAACCATTCTCTTGGTGCCTGAGCTTTAACAGATAAAACAAATACCAGCAGGAATATCCCTTTTGGTTTAGAGATGTATGTCATCAGGAAAAAGACAGACTGCCTGTTCTTTTTTCCCAAATGTCTTCTGTAAGGTAATCTTTTTAATTAGGATAATTAAATTCTTGTTTCAAAGGGCACCAAAGTGCAAGCATTATCGTCTGATTTCCTGTAAAGAGTATTTTCCTGCCTCCTGTTCCACAAGGTGTCCATTAACAGGAGAAGCACCAAGTGAGTCAGACATTATGGTTACAGGTTTGTGGCTCGTGTCAGCGCTAAGAAGAGGGAAATGAGAAAGGAAAACATAAATTGGGAAACAGTGTCAGAGGGCAGGCCAAGATAATGGAAGAACCAGAAAGCAGAGGAAAAGGGTGTTGTGTGGGAACCAAAACCTCGCTTCAGGTAGGAAATGTCAGAGAAAAATACAGTAACATTTTTTAAATTAGGGAGGGGGGAATCCAAGCAGATCTTTATTGTTTTTTGTTTTGTTTTGTTTTGTTTTGTTTTTTGGCAGCCCGAGTTCAGTAACAGAAATCAGTGAGATGTGTCCTCTCCCCTGATTCATAACTGCCGTGTGACCCGAACCTTTCTTAGCTCCAAGTTGCCTGTGAAACTGACTAGTAATTCCTGCGGTGTATTTCTATCACTGAGATCTGGGGAAGGATTTGGGGAGTTCTGTGGGTAAGGCAACAAGCAAGTCCAAGACAGAAATGAGTCAACTGGAATATCTTGTGAAAATGTTGATATATTGCCCCCGTGGCCAGCACGTAAAGCTGCGAATCGGCGGGACCAGGTCCTGGGACAAGTTCTCAGATGCACCCACGAGCTCCGTTCTGCCCCATTACTCCTCATCTATCGCTGCCACCTCCCCCCGCCCGGCCCCCAGTGAGTGGGCCACACACGTGCAGCTAAGAAAGTCAGGGAATACTTCGCGGCAACTCTCTCCTCTCTGTGCTGTGAAGAATGAACCCAACTCCATGCCTTCTTCACAGAAGACCAGCCTGCCATCCTTTACATTTTTTTCCTAGAAGATGGTATATCATCTTAAAAGCCTGGTTTAATTTGCTTTTCTCTAAGCTTTGTGGTATTTTTTATATGCCATTAGTCAGTTATTGCATGTTACTAGCAACAATAGTCCCACCTAATGTATTTAATTTGTTTTGAAAATCATAACACATCTTTATGCACAGAAGCGGCAGCTTTTAACTCCATTGATGACTTCCTCTTTAAAAGTCCTCCTTTAAATCCCTAACCACATTCTTCTTGGTTTTCTTCCTACCCACTAACCAGGCTCTGCTGTCTTCACTCAGTCCTTAAATGGCGGTATTTCCAGGGCCCAGCTGGGGCTCTCCGTTCTCCTCGTTCTGATCACCGTACTTCAGTGACTTTTTCACCACCCACAGCTGCAATACCTACCTGTATATACTGCAGACTCAAAAATGCATCTCCCCAGTAAGACTTCCCTCCTGCACATGCAAATAAATACTGGGCATCACCACCTGATGGTCTCAAAGGCTCCTCTGATTTGCCGTGTCCAAAATGGAGATGGCCATATCTTCTGCCCACCTGCCATGTTCCCCAAAAACCCGGTGACCGTCACCTCCTGGGTTCCTCAGGTGGAAATCTTGAGACTCATCCCACTATATCTCTAAAAGTGTTATCAGTTCTGTGAGTCATACTCTGCATTCTCTCTTCTACCTGATCCTTTTCCTTGATCACCACTGGCACTGCCTCATTTTAAGCATATCTCAAATCCCAAGAATGGCCCCACTAGCCTCTCAACTGGTCACCCTGGCCCCACTCTCACCCAGGGAGCTTCCTCCTTCTGACACAGCAGGGGATGGAGTTGCACTGAGGCCTGACGGAGCAGCTAGCAGAGAGAAGAATGCCACCTTTTATGTGCTTTAAAGATACTTCTTGATCTTCTTTGTATCTGCCTTACTTGAACATTATTTCATCACAGTCTTAATAACTGCTATCTTGACATATCCTTAAATACAATAGAAAAGGACGTGCCAAGAGAAATAACTAATCCGCTGCCCACCCCACCCATAACTAGACTTGTGGTCTTATCATCTGCTAATTCATCCTGCAGTCCCACATTGGCTAAAAGTGCTCTTCTGATGCTTTTTGCTTTCATGTCTATCTTCTCCCTAAACGTGTAAGCTTCTTAAGGGCAGGGGCCATGTTATCCTTGTAGTTCAACTTCTCAGGGAGTTACTGCTACCAAGTACATATTCAGTATGTGTTCACTGATTTAATTCACCACTGCCAATTTGGTTATGCCAAAGCCCTACTTAAAAATCCTTCAGCCGTTCCCCAAAGCACCCAAAATACAATTTATATCCCTTAGTGTGGCCCACAAAGCTTTCGTGAGCTGACTGCTCCTTGCCTTTCTTTCGTGAGCTGACTGCTCCTTGCCTTTTTTTCCATCATCTGTCACCATCAGCCAACCGCATCTGCCTGGACACACTCCCTTCTATTTTGTTTGTCCTCCAGAACATAGCTCAAGGATCACTTTCTTAGACAATCTTCCCTGAAACCCTAATCTTAGACATGCCCCTCCTCTTGGCTTCTGTATGAATCCTGTATATGCTTCATGAATGCACTATCCAAAGGTTGAGTGGCCAAAAGTCATGTGTTCCTGAAAGGTCAACAGTGTGAACATTCTGACTCCAGCACCTAGCAAGAATTAAGAAAATGTGAGTCTTCTGGAAGGAGACTGTCAGCAACATCTAGTCCCCCACGGACTGCAGGCATTAGCCAAATAGAAGAACAATTCAGTGACAAGACAGAAAATAACATAGAAAGTGAACCATGTAAAAATAAGGAACCGCAGAAAGACCCTGATGCACGCAAGAAATTTGTAACTTAATACACCTGAAGGTTTTTGAGAACGATTTATGATTGCACTGGGGCATAAATTTTACCCATGTGGATGAACCACTCCACGTCTCAAATAACCACTAATTACGTATAGCGGCATCCACCACCACTACCCACATCCAGATATTGAACGAATTATAAAATGAGTGAGGCAAAACTCACTCCAATCCAAGTGAGGTAGGTTAAAGGGAAATAGGAATAGGAATAAACAAGCCTTCTACCTAATACCGACAGTGAACATAGCCTTTCAACTATTTTAGCAATGACTCAGATGAGGAACACAAACTATACAAAAGAGGAAGAAGTCTGAAGTCGTCTGGGATGCATTTTCTTCAACTTCTCTGGAATTGTCAATTACCTCAGTTTCCTGACAAAGCTTTGCTGATGTCAGTAATTTACAGTAACAATCGGCGAGATAACAGCAGGTTTGTATGGGCCAAAGGTAAATTTGTGTCTAACATGAGTAATATATCCTGTACTGAAGGACAGCAGGAGACATGAGAAAAGGTACAATTTCTATTAGTGATTTTTAAATAAAAGGAAAGCCAAATCCATTATCACAGAGCAGGTGAATATGTTGCCCTCTCTGCTCTTTCTCATGAAATGTTAAGTACTTCCTTCTTGAATCCTGTCTTTTTTTTTGGTGCGAAAGGGGGGGGGGGCGGGTGTGGAGCCCAACACAGGGCTTGAACTCATGGCCCTGACATCAAGACCTGAGCTGAGATCAAGAGTTGGACATTTCGCTGACTGAGCCGCCCAGGCACCCCTAAGGCTTTTTATAAGGATCCACCATAGAGGCTACATAATTACTGCATAGAAAACAGACTAGAAGGTGCTCTGCCTGTGTCTTAAAATTTTATATACCAGAACACATTGTGAGTACACTCTGTGTTTAGAGAACTGTGAGTAATTACAAAAGAGGAGGCAGGTCCTCTCCTTGCTTTGAACAGCGGACAGTTATCCAAATGAAGTTAAGACAAACAAATGGAAGGTCATAGATAGACAAAAGGATCTTTGGCCAATAGGAATCTGCTATAAACTAACATACACACATAAACTGAATCAGAGACCATTACAAAACTTTTTCCTCCAGCCGTTGTGACAATGCCTGGCAAACGTGATCAGCCTGCTTTGTTCCAGAGCGTGAGGCTCTCAGATCACGAAGGCATTTAGCTGGGTTGATGGAGAACTTTGTGATTTCTCGGGGGTCAACGTCGAAAGCTTCATTTCTCATCCTACAGCACTGAATGTGCACTGACCGCAGGCTTTTCCTGAGAGTTGCTACTCTTGGTTTTCTCATGAAATTGCTGATATGAACTGATTCTCTCAAGATTTTGCTTTTTTTTCTCCTACAGCTAAGTACAGTGAAAATAGAACATTTCAACTGAGGCTTCTGATGTAGTTTTCTCAATAAAAAGAGAGGTTGTCAAGGATTCTTAGGCTCTACCTACAAAGTTCATGATGCAGGCGTGGTTGTGGTTAAGGGAGCTTTCCTTACTTATCACAAGAAGCTTTGTGGTCATGGCGTGAGAAACTATGCTTTCTTGTGAAAAGACCCGGATTCCAGGCCCAGCTCTGCCCACCACCCCTGTTAACTATGTGACCTTGTCTAAATTACATCACTGAACCTCAGTTTACTTACCTCTAAAATAGGAATAATATTGATAACCATCTCACAGGATGGTCGTGAGAATCCAATGAGACCATAGATGTGCAAATAGTTTGCAAATGGTCAGAATGGCAGGCATTGGGAAAGGGGCAAGAGTGAGCAGAGTTCATTTGTTTGTTTCTTTTTTTAAAGATTTATTCATTTATTTATTTGAGAGAGAGAAAGAGAGAGAGAGCACGAGCAGGGGGAGAAGCAGGCTCCCCACTGAGCAAGGAGCCCAATGTGGGGCTTGATCTCAGGACCCCAAGATCATGACCTGAGCCAAAGGCAGACACCCAACCAACTGAGCCACGCAGGCGCCCCTCGTTTGTTTCTTTCATCCACTCTCCTTTTGACTTCCCTTCCGCAGATGTCCTTTCTTCCCTCTTAGGCTTGAGGAAAGCTCTCCTGTGATAACCTATTCCCATAGTTAGGTCCACAGAGAGTGCTCTAAAAGAAACACAATAATTTCAGTACTTAGAAAATTTTCCCAGCATGTAATTTTTAGGGGACCAGGGTTGTCTCAAGATTCATCCTCAAAGAGACCCTTTGTTTCCTGGTGGGCGTTAGCCTTGGATGGCTGAAAAAGGAAGGAATGCCTGACAATTATCAGTTCGATGAGAGGCCTCAGAGCATGAGAAAGGAGGAGGTTGTTCTGTGTCGATTCTAGATATGTGGTGCCTCCGCTGCTCTAAATAGATAATCCAGGGTGATAATGAAGTAGTCACAAGGGTGAACCTTTGTAACAAGGCAGCCAAGGCACTGCTCACAATTTGAACCTTTCCGTTAGCCTTTTTATGTATTTTAAAGAGAGAATTTTAAATCATGAGATAGCCTTGCCTGTCAGATTAATCGGCCCATATGGGGAACCTCTTTCTTAGCTTGGGAGAGACTCAGGAGGGGAAGCTGCTGGAGATGAAAGCTGATGATCCAAATAGCAGGAAAAGGTTTATAGTTTATGATTATTGTTTTCCTTCAGCTAATTTTAATTCTGATGAACACTAAGTTTTCTTTGGTACTTTTTGTTCCCCTAGTCTTTTTTTTTTTTTTTTGGTTTTTTGGGTTTTTTTTTTTTTTTTCAGTTATATTGTTCAGCCAAGTATTTCTTAAGCCTCTATGAAAACAACACTACATATTTTTTAAAGCCCATGTAAACAAACATTTCCATGAAGATTGGCTTGAAAAATACATGTAGATGGCAGCCTGAAAGACCATTCCTGTTGTAAAAAGGAAAAGATTTGATAGATCGACTGATAGGTAGATAGATAACACACTAGAACTTAATGTTAATTAAAATGGATTAGAATTATGTTAACTCTTACCCTTCTGTTGAGTTCCTTTCTGTTCCTGTAACAATCTAAACATGCAGAATGCCTTGATATATTCTGATCCTTGGATGGCAGGATACATCTCCAGTCAAACTGTTCTAAAACAGATCATTTGTAAACAAGTATTTATAGATTGCCAGTAAACACCAGTCATTGTGCTAGACAACAGGAATAGATGTAGAATCATATATGGAAGCTCATGTGCAAACAGATTGCTACGAGGGCAACAGAGAAGAAGGAGTTCTGTCTTGTTCTGTGAGACCTCTGCCTGGGAGTCTAGGGAAGCCTTCAGAGAAGAAAGGCTATTTGCGTTTTGTTTTGAAGAACCAATAGGAGTTTGTCAGGCAACTCCTTGAAAGGAGGGTAATGTTCAAAGGCACGGCAGTGTGAGGAGCATGGCGTGGTAAAGGAATGACGAGCTTTCGGTTATAAGCTCCTTTGAATGCTACCAAAAGTTGACTTTATATTTAAACCAATAAATAAAAAATGCATACTATAATAGATTAAGTTATGTCTATCCTCCTAGGTATTAATTTCCTATGTCTGGCAACTGCTACTGCTGAAGTAGCAATCTTTGGGCATGGTCATTGTTGCTAAAGAGCAAACCCCCTGCAGTATAGGGAAAAGAGGAAAGAAAGCCACTTCAAGTCTCCCCCTGCCCAATATAGATAAATATGGCCAGAATGCAACCATCACGGTGAAGCAAGTACCAGAGCGATAGGTCATCTCTACTTAGATTTTGACATTTCACCCAAAGCAACACCTTCTGGTGACTTCCAGATGTGGATGCTTGACCATTAGTAAGCAGTTAAGACTGAAGCCTTGTTTCCCATAAGCTATGAATAAATAGATGACTTGTAAGGACATCATCTCATTATTTCAAACAACAGGGAAATTTGAGAAAATAAGTTAAGCATTTAATAAAGTTCTTGTTCTATCTTCCTTTGCTGAGAATGGTAGTTTAAAGTTAGCCTCTCTAACAGGAAATAGAATAGCTTGACAAAAAGAACCACAATTGTATAGCTAAACTGGCAGCATATCTGTATGGTGTGGAGCGATACATATGTTCACCACCCTTTGCTGGTTAAACTGTATTTCATTATCATCTCCTTATTTCCACTTCTAATTCTAGAGAACTATTTCCTATAAGCAGGTCAGCTCTCTAGCAATTTTGAGCATAAGAATTGTTTTAAATGCCTGACCCCAACTTTATTAAGTGACATTTTCTCTCCTTTTTAATTGTAGTCCCTCAGGAACACACCTAACACACTTAATACCTATTGCCATCCATGGGGAGAAAAATAAATTTACCACCGATTTCAACTGCATTGTGTATATGGATATTTATGCTCTCTCTGGCTTTAAAAATGACTGCTTGGATTAAGAATATCTATTTTATATTATAGTATGATGAACCTACAGAGTTGATCATTTTAATACTATGATATATGATGCTACAGAATGCAAGAGTCCTCCCAAATCAACATCAAGTCAATCTTTTAAATCTAATTTGTTTTGTTTAAAAATTGCTATAATTTGTTCAATTTAAAGAGCAGATATTTGGGGCGTCTGGGTGGCACAGTCGGCTAGATTAAGTGGCCTACTCTTGATTTCGGCTCAGGTCCTGATCTCAGGGTTGAGGGATCGAGCCTTGCATCGGGCTCCATGCTCAGCGTGGAGTCTGCTTGGGATTCTCTCTCCATCTCTTGCTGCTCCTCCCCCCTCCCTTCCTCTCTCTCTCAAATAAATAAATAAATCTTAAAAAAAATAAAGTATTTTCCATATTTTGGATTTGGGGGATTGTTTGTTTTTTGTGGTAATTTTGTTGTTTCAGCTTAACTTTTGTGGGAGTGTAAAATTCTCTATTACTGGTTCAGACCCAAGGAGTCTCTGTAGCTGTGATAATGTTCCTGAGTGCTGAATCATAGGATGTGGATAGTGAATAATTATAGATAATGGCCACCAGTGAAAATGTCATTAATCAGGAAACCATATCCAGATGTCTCCCACAACGTCCAAAGTCAAAGATAAAGCATGGCATTGCCACTGACTTCTCCTCCTTCCCTCACCCCCTTTCTTTCTCTTTCCCCCTTCTCGCCCCTTTTTCCTCTCTTTCCCTCCTCCTCCGCCTCCTCCTTCTCCATTTCCTTCTCATTCTCCTCTTCTCTATCTCCTTCTCTTTCTTCAATGTGGACTAAAATGGACCAACTATCTACTCTGTCAGGGTATTATTCTTTTGCATCTGAAAACTTCAGCTAGAAAAAAATACCATCAGGTTTCCTTTACATGGTAAGAAAGACCCCAGCAAATAAGCATTTGAGAAAACCAGGCTTCACGTGCTTTGTGCTTGAGAAAGCAACCACATCATAGGACATTGTGAGTAAAAGCTGCCACCAAACTCAAAGAATGAATTACAGGGACTATTCTGGGGAGTTAGGAATCTGTACCCTAAAGAATTCTCTTACATTCTAAAACTGGATTAACAAGTAACAGCCAACTTAACTCACTTTCTTTTGTATAAAATGTTGTCTTCATGGTTTTTAACTTACCTTTTTCTATTCTCCTTCCAAACAAAGGTATACATACGATATCAAATTTCCCTTTAAATTTGAGCAGTAAAGATAGAATAATGCTATTACAGATTTTAAACAACCAATGTTTTGAGGGAAAAATGATTTCTAAGGTCAAGAATGGTTTAAGGAGAGGTCTTTTCAGACTCCTATTACAGCCAGACCTTTATTTTTTTATTATTTTTTATTTTTTTAGAGGGTGGGGAGGGGCAGAGGAAGAGGATGAGAGAATCTTAAGCAGACTCCATGCCCAATGCAGAGCCTGATGCGCTGATTATGACCTGAGCCGAAATCAAGAGTTAGACACTTAACCAATGAGCTACCCAGGCACCCCAGAGCCAGACCTTTAGACTGAAGTCTAAAGTTAAAAAAAAAAAAAGGCTTGAATTTCTGCTTAATTGAGAGAGAGAGAGAGAGAGAGAGAGAGAGAGAGAGACAAAGGCAGAGACAGAGATTGAGAATTGGGCAGACACAGTGCAGTGAGGCCATAGGATGTAGCAGAGATTCTGGGCAATCCACTCCTCCTGCACGGGACTCAGGTGCTTCAGTAGAGAACTTCAGGTAGTGAAGAACAAGCATGTGAAGAGATAAGTGGTCTGGCCTCAATGGTCTAGACTGGTGCTCTACAACAACAAGAGATACGTAAGCCTTTTCCAAGATATTACAGTTTGAACAAAATATGCTAAAGCCATTGTTTCTACAAACTTTGGTATTTTTAAATAATTTACATTTAACAAATAAATGGTTAAAATGAAAGCATTATAATTTCATTTGGCTAAACTTGTCAACGGTAAAAATAAAAGCTAATGAATGGGATGCACTGATGAGTTTTGACCAATCATGAGTCACCCCCTGGCCTTAGGAGTAGATTCTGTTCCATTCATGCCATGGGCAGAGAATAAGAGTCAAGGGTTTTCTAATGACAATGTGGGCTGCTGCGAAGAGCTGAGGGCCTGTATCCTGGAGAGGCAATCATGGAGTCACAGTATACTTAAGGCAGGGCCATTGCTCAGGTTAACTTGTTCCAAGAAAGAAGTACTGAAAGGTATCACATCCTAACCTCCAGAAAGGGCAGCCACCATCTGAGAAGCGGCCCTTTACAAAACGGTGGTGCCATGGGAACATTTAAGGCAAGTAAGGTTCTCAGTATTTTCCTGTCAAATACCCAGGTCACATTGGGTTCCTTTGTGGGAGGCACTTCCATGGCAAACTCTGATAAGTCGGGTTGTGCGTTATATGAAATTTCTGGCATGCTAGCTGGATTTGTACTCACTCCCCTCTCACCTAAGGCTTTGCTTTGTACTAGGACACAAGTGAGTAAAAAGTGAGGATTTGTTCTTCTAATTTATGAATGTAGAAGAGTATTGTCAAACTTCAATCTGTAAGTCTTATGAGTAACAAACAATTTATACAGTCGTTCATAATTGATCAAAACCTACCAGGCTGTCTAGCCATAGTGGTTAAGAACTACGGCTCTGGAGTCAAAACTCTCTGGGTCTGAGCAGGATATAGCATTCTAGAATGTCAGTGCTGCTGAAAACTTGCAATGTCTACTCTGTTTTCATCCCTCAACTAAGACTTGAAAAGCCTTTCAATTAAGCTTTCTTCACACCTAACTCAGTCTGGGATATTTTCTTTTCTGGGTCACAGAATTTCAAGAGCTGATTAGGGCTTCCCTGAAGACTAAAAATATCCCAAACTGAAAAGAGGTTCTCACCACACATCAGTTAGGGTTCTCCTGAGAAACAGAACCAATAAGATATGTGTGTGTGCATTTATTTATTTTTATTTATATTTACTTATGCATATTTATGTATGTTTTTATTTACTTATGTTTTATTTATATAATATAAATATATTTTTATGTGTGTTTGTATGTAGTTTATCATAGGGAATTGGCTCATGAACTTTATGGAGAATAGCAGGTCCCAAGATCTACAGTGACTCAGTGACCTGGAGACCCAACAGAGCCCCTGGTATAGTTCCATTCAAAGTCTGGCAGGCTCAAGACCCAGGAAGAGTCAATGATTCAGTTCCAATCTAAAGGCAGGAAGAAAACAATGTTCTAGTTTGAAGGCCATTAGGCAGTAAGAATTCTCTTACTCAAGGAAGTGTCAGCCTTATTGTTTTATTTAGGTCTTTGACTGATTGGATGAGACCTACCCGTGTTATGGAGAGCAATCTACTTTACTCTGTCTGCCAATTTAAATGCTAATCTCATCTAAAAACACTCTCACAGAAACACTCAAAATAATGTTTGACTAAACATCTGGGTACCCCGTAGCCCAGTCAGGTCAACCATCATACCCTAAAACATGGAGAATAAAAAATAAGGACTTTAGAGTCAGACATCTGTAGGTTTGAATCTCAAGGTTGTCTCTAGTTTGTGTGCAAATTTAAACAGTTTTTTAGCCTCCTTGAGCCTTAATATCCTTATTTTCAAATTGGTGAATGTATCTACCTCTTAGGTTGATGGTGTGAGGATTAAATTAAATAACATGTATGTCATAGATACATGAAAAATAAATATAAGGCCTCTGCCTCTGGCTGGGGATCTAAATATCTCACCTGTATCTCTGACAGAAACTGCTTGAGACAAATTATTTCCTATGGTAGGTAATAGATCCTGCTGTTTTCCCTACCAACACCTATTCCTCATCTCTCCCTTCTGTCTAGAGTCCTGATGTTGTTCAAGTAGGAGATAGCAGGGCTCTAACTTACATATACCTTAGAAAAGGTATAACCCTCCTCAATTCCCAGTGGATGGACCACGACTGGTGATCTTATTCACCAGATGCCAGCAGTCTAGGGATGAGCGTGTGACCCTTGCTAGCCAATGAAAGGAAAAGGGGAATATGCTGAAGGACATGTTCGAAAAATTTCTTCACTCACAAAAGAAGAAAAACAAGTGAAGAAATCCTGCTCCAGCTCTTCTTCCCTACCTTCCAGGTAAGTCCTGGGAATACAGAATGTTTGGATGTGAGGCATCCATCCAGCGATCATGAAACACTCAGAAAGCAAGAATAAAGGTTATTTAAGGAGCCTGGGTCCCTGATGCTATCATTTGTGTACCACACCGCTCTCCAGACTTGCTGTCCTATCTCATCTACTTTTACTTTTTAAGCCTCTTTTAGTTGGTTATGCTGTTCCTTGCAGCTAAATGCATCCTAAATGACACAGGGGACTTTGCCAATTTTGAACACAACATTTCCAACTCATTGAGACTGCAACAAAAGTTTTTAAACCATTGAAACATGGAGACTACCATTTTGGGCACTGGACAAAAAAGGAACTCTATGCCTCTATCATCTACATTTATTCATACACCTATTTCCATAAGCACTTATTATAGGCCTCCAATGTATAAGACAATGGGATAAGCCACATGAGGGGAGAGAGGAGGCTACCAAGATGAATGAGAACTGGATCTTGTTCTGAAGGAAACTTATAGCCCAGTTGAATAGATAAGAAACAATAAAATAAAAGCAAAATCCATAGTTCTGGCCATAAAAGGAAGCTGGAATCCACCTCTGTAAATCACTAAAGCATGCACCTTTCACATTTTACATTTTATTTTTACATGCCCAGAAACTTGAGCTAAAAGTGGAACAAAAAGGAAAAAAAAAAAAAAAAAGAATGAGGTAGTAGAATAAAATAGAAGACATTAAGCAAGAGGGTCTGAATCACACTCTCACACTTTACTACTCAAGTTGGAATATAGGGGCAAATGTGATTGATGCCTTAGCTTGGCGCCTCTGGAAAAAAAGACAATGAGAAAGGCAGCTTGCTCTACCTGGCTCGCTTTCAGCTCAGGAGTTGGAAAGCCAATAGCGAACTGTATTTCTAGGTTTTCTGGCTCTAGGACAATATAATAAATAAGACTCTGGCAATTTGTGTTAGAATCTTGTACTGGGTCAGCAATTACTACATGTGAGCGTGCTTCGAAACGACAATCCTCTCTGCTACACTCCAAATGGCTTTTCATATGTAGAAATATGATGTACTGTGTTCTTTGGTGTTTAAAGCTTAACTAGACAGAAATGACTCTTCATCATCTACAAAATAGCTAGAGTAAGTCCAAGACAACTCCCCAAAGTAGAATAAAATCCAGCATCAAAAGCCAGCATGTTATAGTGGATGAAGATTATAGACTTGGGAGCCTGAGAGAACTGAGTGCAAATCCTGGTTTTACAGTTTTTATTCATGTAACCTTGAGCAAGTTACTTTACCACTGTGAGCCTCAGTTTCCTCATTCAGAAAATCAGGATAACAACACATCCTTCCTAGAGTTACTGCAAAGATAAATGAAGTGATACATGTGGACAGCAGCTGGCCTCAGCATGAATACTCAGTAAACGTTGCGTCTCGTCCCTGTTTCTTGATTTTGATCTTAGATAGATTTTAGATTTTTATTAGTACAGTCAACTCAGAACTAGACAGTAGCAGTAATACAAATAATACAAAGTGGCGGATAATCCCAGAGTTACTAGTTTTTCACTTTCAAGTGCTTATCTGTAATTACATTTGATTGGGGATAAGTTTTAAGAGAATTCACAAGACTTCAAAAATTTACATAAAATCAATTTGAGATTAGTTGGAAATCTCTTCACTTTGTCTCTTTTGCAGAATGGTGTTCAATAACCAGCATGAAGTGGGTACCTACTATGTGTGTGCTGTGTTCTAAAGAGAAGGAAGATGAAGGTGGGTATTTTTTATAAAAAAGAAAAGGATATTTTTCACTCTCCTGAGAGAACTAGTAAAATTTGAACTCTATCCTTTTCTCTCTCCTGCCTTTCTCTCTTCTTGTTGCTTATGATTTATGTTCCTTCAAAGAGAGAGAGAGCTCATGGGGCGCCTGGGTGGCTCAGTTAAGTGTCTGCCTTCGGCTCAGGTCATGATCCCAGGGTCCTGGGATCGAGCCCCGCATTGGATTCCCTGCTCAGCGGGAGGCCTGCTTCTCCACCCCCCACCCACTTGTGTTCCTGCTCTCACTATCTCTCTGTCAAATAAATAAATAAAATATTTAAAAAGAGAGAGAGAGAGAGAATTTAGGGCGGTTGAGTCTGGATCGGCCATGGTTATTTTTGCCCCTCAGATTCCTGTGGCGCCATTCTCTATGAATGATTCAATGGGTCAGCTAGTTGTATGTGAAGAATGGGAATGTTATTCGGCAGGATTTCAGGGGGAGGTAGGGATGTAGATTCTCACAGGAAAAGTCAGAGCCAAGGACCAGATATCCTTTTACAAGGAGTCAGGCAGGGCAGGCCCACTTGGGGAATGTGATATACGAGGATAGAGTGTGGAAGAAGGCATGAAGCTAAGACAGCAAAATAGTAGGGGTGAGGGTGGGTAGCGAGGGGAAGACATGGTTAACAGGGGATTTCAGGAAGAGCAGAGAAGCCTAAGGATGTTTTCAGACGCTTTCTGTCTGATACGTGTTGTGAAACTCTTGTTTCACTTCTTTACTTATAGTAAATACCTTCATTATTCTTCTAGATCCTGTCGTTGGACTGGAGTTTCCCTGAGTGTGATACTATACAGTGTCCTGTCTGGGGAGGAGAGGTTACACATCACCAACGTAGTTAGATAAATAGGAACAATATATAAGGAAAGATAATATGAGGAGACAAGGCCCAATCCCCAACCCCATCACTTCCTGCTTGCTCCCTGTTTGAACTCTCACTATTGCTTCCAAGAGTGTCATTGTGAAAAAATATAGTGTTTTTAGAGAAACACTGGTTTCAGAAGTAGAGAAAAGAAGAAATTTCAAAAAGTAAAGTAAAAGTAAAAAAAAAAAAAGTAAAGCAAAAGTAGTAGAGGGGTGTTAGCTGGCGGCTAACACTGCAGAGGGCCTGGCATGCCTTTGGGTGTCGCTCTCCTTAGAAATTCCTCACCCCACTTTATGGAGGCAGGGAAGGAAGGAAGGGAGGAAGGGAGAGAGGGAAGGAAGGAGGGAAAGAAAGAGGGAAGGGAAGGAAGGACGGGGTGGGGGGGAGTAGAGGGGAAGGATGGAAGGAGGAAAGAGAAAGGAGCCCTTACAAAAATGACTCTGGCAAAAGGAAGGGTCTATCATTACTTTTCTTGTACACACATGAGTTGGTTGAATCAGTGTCCACTTTTATGCCCAGGAGAGAAAAACATCTGATGATGGGGTGTTGATTAGAGGAGACTGGGGGCAGTTTTGTTGGTGCATGGAGCAGATGGGCAAGAGGTGGGTAAAGAGCTTAAGGCAAAGAAGGAACTAGGCATGGGGGTGAGAAGTCCTAGGAGGCAGAAAAGAAGGGAAATCATGAAAAGACCAGTTCCAGCCTCTTTACTCCCCCATCAAGAGACCAGGCTTTGGCTTCTCTAAGCCCATTTGACAACTCTGTGGTTCCTAAGTGTCAGGGTGCTTTAACGACTACATGGAATGGGGAAACAGGTGATGGGGATCGGAGGGCGCTTGCTGGGGTGAGCACTGGGTGCAGTACGGGAGTGTTGTATCACTATACTGTACATCTGAAACTGATACTATACTGTGTATTAACTAACTGGGATTCAAATGAAAGCTTCACACAAACAAAAGAAAGACTAGTTGGGAAGCTTATTAGAAGCCTATCTTCCTGAGCATGACATCCCCAAATTCTGATATGGTAGGTCTGATGTGGAACCCAGGGATGGACATTTGTCATGGATTCCAAGCGATTCTGATATGAGTGGTGTTCTCAGTACACTTTGCAAAACAATGGAGCACACAGGCCAGAGGCAGCTGATTCATGAGTCGTGACAATATGCACGTCCAATAGCAAGGGGTGTTGGCGCCGTTAGGCCTGATAGGACCAAACCTAAAGAAGTCCTGTTCAGGTACTGCTCCATAAAGGCTACCCATTTTGGTCTACATACTTTGGACAACATGACCCTGCTTTAAGATGTTGGTTCAGGTTGGTTCTGGCAGCTTGCTATGGAATGGACCGAGGAGTTACTAAATAGGGCTTATACAGTGCCCTGCATCCATACACGGCAATTACTGAGAAAGCTCAGTTTTCAAAGTCGTTCTCAACGAGTATATTACAGCAGGCTTTGATAGTGTGCTACTAAATTTAGATCAGCAGATAATTTTTATTCTTGCTACCTCAGATAATGTTGATGATTTTATCACATTTTTCAGAAGCAGTATTGAGCTGAGTAGGTTATATATTGCAGTGCAGTATTCTAGGTAAGCAATAGGTAGAGCTGAAAAGTACAGTATGAGAACAACTTGGGATCGCTGCAGGTTGCGTGTTTTCTGGAACATGCAAGAAACTTGCCTTGTAACCCCTTAAATATTTAAGAGTGCTGAAAGGGCAAGTGACAGTTCCGTGCATTTAGAGACATGACAGACGGGCTACTGATTGTTTTACTGACAAAAAGGAATCTCTTTGAATGAACTATCAAGTATTCTATAATCCAATGTGTCTAGGAACACCAAAACTCTGAGAACCACCACACTACAGTGGGATTTGGCATTAAGGAACAATCATATCTCACTAGAGTATTGGGTACTACCTATATGGACTCAGTTTAGGCAGCAAAAGCTGAAAAGTGGGGCTGAGGGCAAGGGGGAGAAGCGGAGAATGGACAGAGCCAGAGCCTCTTGGATTAGGTTTCCAGAATGAAGGGCTGACTCCACAGATTCCCCACCAAGCCAGAATAATTTTAATGCTTAGGATTCTCATGGGCGGGGCAAAATATTAAAAGTCGCCACGAAGCGAGGATAGTCAAATTAAGCCATCATAGTTAGCTTAAATAGGATTCCCTGTAAACAGACTCTGAGTCTGGGAGTGGCGGGCAGAAGTTTCACAGGGAAGTGATCTCAGGGGATGGGCCTGCATGGAAGTAAGGAAGGCAAGATTAGACACAAGGAGGGGTTGGCCTGAAATTTGGTTGCAACTGAGTATTTGGTTAACCTTATAGGGGGAACTGGGATGGCCATTTAGAGTTGTCCCAAAATGAGGCAGAAGAGTTCATACTTTGTAGTTTCTCATCAGCCACCTAGCGTTGGCCTCTCCCTTAAAAATGGTTATAACCTTGGGTAAGGCAGTGTTTAGTGAGGTACACAGCTGTGAGCCTCAGCAGCTGATTTTGTATATTAGTCAGCTTGGGCTGCCATAACAAAATACCATAGACTGGGTGGCTTAAAAATAGTAATTTATTTCTCACAGTTCTGGGGGCTGGAAAGTCCAAGATAAAGGTGCTGGCCAATTTGGTTTGCGGGTGATGGCCCTCTTCCTGGCTTGCACAGGACTGCTTTCTCACTGTGTCCTCACATGGTGGAGAGAGAGTGTATGTCTTAGCCCCTGACAATAAGTGGTTGGCAGAAGCTAAGCAAGTTACCATTGCCCTGGAGCAAGGCTGGCTTTGGATGGGCTTCCATTCCCAACAGGAAATTGGAGACTGACTCAGGAATTGAGATAAAGCCTCTTCCTAAAAAATAGGAAATGGCATTGATGCAGTCATCAATGGGAGAAGGCAACAGTTCAATATTTATGTGCATAAGCACACACAGAGGGAAAGATCCTACTTTTTCCAAATACATGGCAGAGAGTAGTAGAAGTAATTCCAGATCTTTGGAGGATCTGGGCCTTGGCCCATTGAGTTACTTCTTAACCACTTACTTAGAACAGGGCTGTTACATGAATCGCAGTGTTCTCATTCAATATCTATAGAGGCTAAAAGTTCAAACTTCATCAATACTATGTTATTGATATTATCTCCTGTTATCCACAATAACTTATTTTTTTTTTATTTGCCATGTTCCAAAGGTGAAGATGTGAAGTGCGACACCAGTGATGTCCATAGAACGCCTCAATGCCGCAGTGTGGTAAGAATGTCTTACAGACTTGAGTTTAAAGCAGAGTGTAACCCCTAAGCCTGAATGAAGCCATAACTCCCCTTCATGGATCACAATATGTGCCCACTTCTGGGTTCATTTTTCTAGATTCTGAATTTAAGATCTATAAATCTCCCGTAACTTAAAGAAAACGAATTGACAATCTGCTCTGTATTTTACTATTTATAAGGAAAGCTAGCCCCAAAAACTCAGTTGCTATGATTTGGAAGATTATATTAGTTCTTTTCCACATACCCTGCCCCTCAAATAATCCATGTTTTCCTCCTGATGGTAAGGTTTAGCAGTTTTACATGTTGCTTTTCCTCCCCAATGCATTCACCTCCATCCCTCATTGAGCTTCACTTAGGAACTTCCTATGAATTAGTAGCATTTGAATTTTGTAGTCAGAGCACAAGAGTATATATCCTGGATATACAATTCATTCTCATAGTCCTTTCCTGTCTGTCTTGAAAAAGTCATACTAATCAATGCCAGTCCTGAGTTATCACAACACGAATTTGTAATGCCAATTAACTCAAAATTTCCAGCATGTATGAAGATTTACAATTACTCCAGTGATGTCTTGCCTTGCTAAAAAGAAAGCCCCGAGTTTGCTAACACAAGGTGTGTCCTCAAGGATGAAAGAGTAACTTCAGGAAAACGAAAAGTTTCCTGTGCTGATTGTTTGAAGAGAAACTCCTGTTTAAATAGAATTCAATTCCCCTATGTCATTTATATGATACATTTTATAGTCTTATTCTTTTTTCTTTTACCTTAGAAAATACAATTTTATTTAATTATTTCACTCTCTTTCCCAAGTTTTCCTTTAAATTCTCGTGAGATAACGTGCAGTGTCATATTAGTTTCAGGTGTAGAATTTAGCGAGTCATCCTTATGTGCCGGTGCTCCTCTTAGTCTTATGATAACTTATAAACGGATATTTAAAGTAATTCCGATGTAGATCAGAAAGTGATCTTTATGTCAATGTTTCTGTTGGCCAAAAAAAATTACATGGCTTAAGTTATAATAACAATATCCTCTACAATGCAACAAAAAAATTAAGCCTGTTGTGTATTAGATAATTAATACAATAACCATATGTATAGAAATGATCATCTAAATATTTATTTAAATTACATAATTTATAAATTGCTAGATTATTGAATAACGCATAGGTGACTGAAATTTCACAATCTGCTCAGACTTTTCACATGAAAAATGAGACAAAGTAACAGTCTAATTCAGAAGAATGTTTTGAGGTATGCTTATCTTGAACAAATTCTCCAAAAGATTAGGCATTTGTGTAAAGAAATAAAAAATTACCAAAAAACTTAATTTTTAAAAAAATTTTATGTATTTATTTGACAGAGAGGGAGAAAGAGAGAGCACAGCAGGGGGAGGGGCAGAGGGAGAGGGAGAAGCAGACTCTCTACTGAGCAGGGAGCCCGACACGGGACTCAATCCCAGGACTCTGGGATCATGACCTGAGCCGAAGGCAGACACTTAACCGACTGAGCCACCCAGGCACCTCCAAAAGAATTCAATTGTTATCTCCATGGCTACACTACAGAACTCAGCAAAGAAAAATGATATTTCACCCATGCAGAAGAATTTGTCATGTCCCCTCCATTGTGCTCTTTTTGTAAGTCGACAAATGGTAATTCCTACATTAGACAATGTTTTCTGCCTTATTCTCTCTCATCAAGGCCAAACTTCAAGTTCTGGTGTGAAGGGAGGGAGTTGTTAATGTTAATGCTAAACTTTGCAGGTAATCCCACTGCTACTTTACCCAGAGGAAAGTAACAATTATCAAGCACTTAATTTATTGAGCCAGGCCTGTACTTGCTAATGCTTCAATATGTCACTTATTCATTCATTCATTCATTCATTCAGTAAATACTTATTAAATGTGTACTGTTGGCCAAGCACTGGGAATATCAAAAAGAATACATCAGATTCCAGGTTTTTAAGAGGTAGAGTGTGGTTCTCTAATCCAGATCATTCTGTTATCTCACAATAACTGAAAGAAAAATGTATTAGTATCCATTTTTATTTTGATGATGAGGAGACTGAGACTCGGAGGGTTTCAATGATTTGCCCAAGGTCAGACGCAGTGCTTACACTCAAGTCCATCAGACGCCAAACTACATTCTCACTCCATTTTCCTTTTGTTGTTACTGGATAAAACACTTTTACACTCTATTTGGACGGTAGGAACTGAAATGTCAGTTAAGCACTCAATGTCAAAATGCAATGATGTACAGTCTGAAAGCTTATCTTTTCTTTTTTTACTTTCTTTATGTCTATCACTTACATAAAAGATGCCTACAGATGGTTCTTTGCCTTCCCCACAAATTAGGAAAAGAAACAAAACTGCATTGTGTGGCAAGCAAGCAATCTAGTTGTCATTCTTTGGTGCTGGTTTTCACAGGAGTCAAAACTGAGCAAGCTACAACATTGAGACTCGAATCCAGTCAGGGCTGCTGATCTTCAACAGTATGTTAGTTGAGGTCCTTGAATGTGATTCAAGCTCACTTCACAGTTCGTTTCTCCTTGCCTGAGGATTCTTAGTGCTAACTCCTATTTTCTATGGATAAATGCTGATGCTAGACAAGGGCAAGCATTTAGTTTTACTGTGGGGGTACTTTGAAAGAATGACCTGGGGCTTGGCCAAAGGCCAAGTCCATTGGAAACTCCCCTCTAAGCTGTGCATTTTTAGGCTGTGGTCATCTTTGGGATTTCCCCCAAAAAAGTTCTCTGTCATGGCAGAAATTTAACAACCCCATTTTCAGAATAGTATACAAAGCCAGGATGTCAAAGTGAGTATGAAATAATTTGCTTTGCATCTTCATTTCTCCATTCTTCTTAAACCCTTCCTCATTCTTAAATCCTTTTCAATTTTGTATTCTTAAATCTTTCTCTATTTGCATATTGAAGTCTTCTTGTAAAAGTCTCTGCTTCCCCTCCAAAATGGTGCACTCAACATTTCCTGACAGTCTATGTCCCATAGAATTCTAGGTACTTTTGGTTTATTATAACCAAGATGAAAGAGAAAGTTTCTAAGTAGCATCTGACAGGCTTCTAAAGTAATAAGAGTTTAAAACACTAAATGTTTTGTCAAATACAATGATACAATTCATGTTTCTAGCAAGCTATTCCTTAGTTAAAAAGCTGGACTAAGGGGTGCCTGGGTGGCTCTGTCGGTTAAGTGTCTGCCTTCAGCTCAGGTCATGATCCCAGAGTTCTGGGATCAAGCCCTGTGTAGGGCTCCATGCTCAGTAGGGAGCCTGTTTCTCCCTCTCCCTCTGCCTGCCGCTCTGCCTGCTTGCGCTCTCTCTCTCTCTCTGCCGAATAAATAAACAAAATCTTAAAAAATAGAGGCTGGACTAATATATGTATATATACATAGGCACAAAAAGAGATATATTCAGAAACAACAGGTCATGCCTATTTAAGTTGTTGATAAAAGCACTAGATGACTGGATTTTATTTGTTGTTCAGCATAACAAAATTTTTAACCTTGGAAATCGTTTCTAGAATAGCAGACTGTTATGAAAAAGATCCTCATTGGTAGAAAGGTATCAAACTATCTACAGTACTCAAATTGTTTTATTTTCCAAATAGGCCCATGACCTCCACATGTACCAGAAGACTAGAAGTATATTCAGAAATTACTGGTCAAAAACTATCTGTGACCCAGATACTGTTTGGATTTGCATGAGATGTTTCCAAAGCAGTCCGGGAAAGCCCACAAATTCAAAGCAGCCTCTTTATCCTCACCCCATTTCTGCTGAGTCCAGGAACCTTATTTCATTTCCTGCATGGTAGGCATTTTTTAGGGACTAGGTAAGCCATGACATCTGCACTGCTTTCTGAGTCATTGTCGTGAAATGATACATACTTGGGTGTAGAACAGCTACTTGGTTCCCAGAGAAAACAAACAAACAGAAGTCAGCTAGGAACTTGAGTTTTGCTAAAAACAAAGACAATGTACAATTCAAAAAAATTTATTTATTTTTTAAAAACAAGGCCTTCAGCTTTTAAGTTTCCAAATGATATTTTCTAACCCTGAGAAAATACTTTAAGTGAGAGCTTTTGCTCTGTATGCCTCCTTCAGGCACAGACCATAGTGTGTGAAGGCAACTGGTCAGGCCTCTTCCCAGACGTCTGTCTCTGGCAGATTGCGACATCAAGCTCCTATTTTGATAGACCGGAGGGGCATATATTCATAGAAAAACCCCTGTATTCAAGTAGACTTAAAAATAATTCCATCATTTTTATCTCTATAAAGGGTAAATATTTATTGATAATGATTAACTGTCATACATGACAGTGTCCTAGGTTCTGGACTGCTATAAAGAGTAAAATATAATTCCTGCTCAGAATTTAGAATATAGCATATGGGGATGAGGATGAAGCATGAATACAAAAGCCCTCTAACTTTAGTCTATTATGAAATTACCAATAAAACATATAATGACTTCAGAAGTGGAGGAGGATATAAGAGAAGTCTCCAGCTAGTTAGAACAGAATGTATTTAGGGATAGTATTCAGATGTCTTAAATCGTTGATGTAGGGAACAGAAGCTAGCAATGTTACCGGGAAATTCCTAGAACAACAACCAAAACAAAAAATTAAATAAATGGTTCATCCTACCTTCTTCGCAAGTGAGGAATAAAGTTGGAGAGAAAAGTGTTACTAAGTACTTATATTATACTTGGCATGGTTGAGATATTAAAGTCTCAAATCATAATAATATCCTGGTATCATTTGCCTTTTTTTTTTTCCTTATTGTTAAGATGAACTGAGGAGTGGAAAGGTCAAGTAATTTGCCCAAGGTCACACAGACAAAAAATGGTAGAGTTGGGATTAAAAGCAAAGTCCAGCTAGTTTCAGCTGAGTGGCTTTGAATAAACAAAGGTGGACAAGGAGAGGAAACACAAAGCATGTGAAGCAATTTCAGGATTTAACCAACGACTTAAGCCTAGCAAGCCTCGGCCAGTTTGTGCTGTGGTAACAAACAGCCTCCACATGTTGGTGGCTTAGGGCAA